AAACTCTTTCCTCCCGAGTGGAGCAAAATGCATTCCTGTCGCTGCAAAGTAAGGGCTCTGGAGGCTTCGGATGCCTGTCCCTGAAGCCTGATGCGCCGGGCCCGTGTCGTGGGGCTCAGCGGTCCCCCAAGGTGGGCAGGTCCGCAGCGCCTGGGAGGCTTTTCAGAGTCCGGGCACACAGGACAACAGAGGCCGCAGAGCCGGGGCCGGGAACCCGGCTTCCTTGTGGTTCCAAAGAGGATTTTTTTTATTGTTACGCGCGAAGGACACAGGCGGACAACGGCCGGGTCTCGCAGCGGGCGGTTCGGGTTGCGGCCAGCTGAGGGAGGCGAGCTAACCAGGTGGGAGGGTGTCGCTGGAGCCTTCTCCCCAAGGGTCCCAGGGAGAGCCGAGGCGACTGGCCTCCACCTTTGTTCCCACAGGGGCTGCCTAGGCGCTAGAAATTCCTAGAGAGAACTCAACGGGGGTGATCGTTGATTTCTGGGGGTGAACTCAATCGGGGGCCCTGCTTGGCTTCCTGAGCTCCCACTCTCACTCTAGTTCCACGGAATATCGGGTTGGTGCAGAGCAGCGATGTACAGTGTTTGGTGACCGGGAAATAAGATGACATTGCTTTGCATTTGTCAGCTGGCTCCTAGGCGGGCCTACCCGCCGACTCAGTCTCCGGGAACAGGTCCGTGGAGCCAGAGGCCCTGGGGTATCGCCAGGATAAGACCTCTCTCTCCCTGGCTCTGCCTGGGAGAAGTGGCACAGCAGGAAAGCCTCGCCAGAAGGCCCTTCCCAGGCAGCTTCCTCGCCATAAAAAGCCAGATTCCAGCCGAGGTTCTGACCCTTTCCAAATATACATTCACTCGCCGGCGGACAGCCACTCTAGCCCAGGCCTCGGGCTGTGAGGCTTCTTCACAGGCTGGGCCCGCTCACCGCCTCCCATCATAATAGTGGGAGTCGGGGTTCCTCAATTTCACTTGCCTCCTCTAGGTCACCAACCCATCTGCTCTCGGACTTTGGACCCTAGGCTTCTGAGCGCCGGTGCCGCGTGCGCCCTGAGCGCACCGGCACATTAGTGAGGCCAGGGATGCGGCTGTGGAGGGTTTTCTTCTTAACGACACTTCTCCATCACCTCCTCAGCTCCCCGCAGGTGCTCCCGGGTGGGGAGCACGAGGCTGTCGGCGCCCCGACACGTGTGCAGGGCCAGACCGCCGCTTCAGGGCGGAGGGACGCGCTGCCAGCGCATGCGCACGCGCGGCGCTGCTCATTCCCCCGCAGTCTGGAGTCCCAGTAGCTCGGCCCCTTTCCTCTCCGCCGAAGCTTGGAAGCCTAGAGACCTAGAGCCTTGCCCCAGGGCACAAAGCTCGTGAGCCGGGTGCGCAGACCAGCCTAGGCCTCCGCAGCCGCCGTCAGCGCTCTGCGGCACAGCACCTAAGTGGTCCCAGTGCCAGCGGCCTTACGCTTTGGGCATGCACACAGGCGGGCACCTCGCCTGGGAGTGCAGATATCAAAAGGGGCAGGTGAGAATGGGGCGTCCGCTGTGTGTGACTCCTCACCCTGGAGGAAGGGCGGGAGCCGGGGAGTAGGCGGCGGGGCTTGGGGTCAGCCCGCGGTCGTCGGCCTCCCAGCAGAGGCGCTCTGGCCGAGGAAACGGGTGAGGGTGGGGCGGGGCCCTGCCGTCGTATTTGTAAAGGAGGCCTTGGGAGGTCTTTGGGGATAGAGCGCACTCCGGGGAAACACGGGCGAGCCCACAGCGGCCGTCTCCGGCCGCGGGGAGGCAGCGGCTGCCTTGCAGGCCCGAGACAGTGAAATGGCTGGAAGTCCAGTCGCGGGAAATGATACTGATGGTATACCCCCTCAAAATGTGCTCTATGCCCCTGGCTGTGCGCTGGGGAGGGAGCGAGGCTGGGAGGTTGCGGGGAGACCTCGGCCTGAATACTGCTTGGGGCAGGACAGCAGCTCTGCGGAAGAAATCCGTCCCAGACCCTGAATGTTGAAAAAACACTGGAAATGGTGGGAACCCCCCGACTGCGGAGGGTGGGCCAGCTCTCCCAGAGGCATTGTGTCCCAGTTGTTGCTGCTGTTTGTGAAAATATTCAGTATCCCAGTGACTGAAACCCACAAGTTTTGGAGGTGCCAGTGGCATGTCGGAACATGTATATCTGTTTGTAAGTCACGTCCACACACACAGACACACGATCTTTTCTGTAAAACCCGGGTGGGAGCCCTCTGCACACCCCCACTCTCCATGCCATCTACTCAAGGTTGCAGCTCAGGTCATGAAAAATATATGACCTGTGAACTTGGACTTAACTGGGAAACATCTTTAAACTGAGAATACCCGGTTGGAATTCCCAGATACAAACAAGATGCCTGGGGTGCTCTGAGGCTTTTTCTTGGGGCTTAGAAAGTTATTTGTAAACTACATATTAAAGTTATTTGAAATGAAATTTTAAAGTGTTGGCGCCTGCTATCATCATTAACAACACAGGGAGGGTCTCATTCACCAGCAGCTGATCAACAGGCAGCCAAGGGTTCTGTCGAATCTAGTGTTTGGTACTGGTAAAGGCGACTAAAGGAGAAGGAGCAGTTTCTGTAGGGGTGTGCTGGCCCACGATCTTAGGCCTGAAAGCAGGTTTCTTAAAGAGCCACCTTGCATGGAGCATTATCTTCTCAATACTTTAGCACTTCCCTTAAAGATTCTGCACACTACAGGGACAGGCCTTTGCCTCTAAGCAGCTTGAAGAGGTGTAGTATTCTGGACCTAGCTCCCTCTCAGTTTTTTAAAGACAAAAGGCAGAAGACATAGCCCAGGACAGAGTCTGGCAGGCAGGTCTGCCCGATAGTGAGGCTGCTTGGTGGTCCAGGTATCTATGTACCTTGTTGCTAATTTGCGGCACATGCATGTGATTTGACTGCTTTGCTCTTATATTTGAGTACTGAAAATTTAATCTTCTTAATTTTTACTTAAAAAAAAATCATGGTGGAAGATATTTCATCACATCTAAAATGAATAGTCAAAGCTGGCAGAGTAGGAAAAAAAGGAAAAATAAATTCACTGAAATTGAGTTGAGATTCAAGATAGAAAAAACCCTTTAATAAGAATATTCTTAAAGGATGTCCAAATGAAATTAACAGCATGGAAATAATAAAGCAAGTCTCTTCTTTTTTTTCTCCTTTTAGACACACGCTGTAAGGCCTAAAAGCCAAATGAGTGTCCTCCCCCCACCCCTAGTGAGGGTGCAGGAAGAGATAAGGTTGCAACCAAAAATATGTTTCGTGTCCTTCAAAAACTGATGCTTCAGACCATTTTGAGAAGAATAATTTAACGGGCTCCACTGGAGTCCCAGTAACCCCCTGCCTAGAATCTCTGCTGGTCTTCACTGAAGAGCTTATTATGTCTTTAGGCTAACAAGCCACAAAACACTGAACTGAATGGTGCCATTGCAAGCCCTAAGGTCCCTTGAATGGCCTCTATGCCTGGGTATGGGATGAGGTGGGGGGTTCAGGGAGTCAGAGGGGGTTCCTGTCCATCAGAGCCAAATCTAAAGGGAATGTGTATGAACGTGTTTATTTGTGAGATTTGTGAGTATGTCTGACAGCGGGATTGTGAGTTGTTTGCAAGTGAGTGAATGTGTGCGTGTGTGAGATGGCATATTTGTAGGTGTGTATTTGTGTTTGTGTTTGAATGTGTGTATCGAAAACTGTGAGTGACAGTGTGTGAGTACGTATGTGTGATTGTGTATGCATGTGTGCCCACCAACCTGCCTAGTCCTGGAGGCCCAGTCTGCCAGGGACCATCTGTTTCCAATTAGCAGCATCCCGATGGAGAGAAGGCCCGTCCTGGGGCAGCTTCTGAGAAGGGGGGGGTGCAGCTCAGGCCACCCCAGTTCTGCTCCATCAAAGCTGAGGCTGGCCCTGGCCAGCATGCTGTCGCAGCAACTCGGGCAGCCACACAAAGAGCTCTCTTTCCTGCAGCCAGCCCTTGGAGCCTGGGTCCTCCCCCAGATCATAAACCTGCTGGTGAAGACATTCAGAAATAGTTACCCATACTCACAGGAGTATGTGCAAAGGCTGGAATTCCATTTGCTATAAAGTTTTATTTTATTTTCCTTGGAGGAGGAGTGAGGGGGAGAAGAAGAGTCTTGACCTAATTTGTTCTACAGCAAAATATTGTATTTCATGCAGAAGTATCCACCTGCACACAAATCCTTGCTTGCTGCTTGTGGGTTCCATACGTTTGTATGTCCACCTGCCTTAAGCTGCGCAGATATACCATCACTGTTCAGGAGCACATAACATGAGGTCAAAGCCAGGCCACCTAAATGATGCACTAAGTGAAACTGGATTCAGTGATCTGAGGCCCAGCCTTAAACTTCCTTATTATAATTTCTAATTAATGCTGATGTAATTGAAGTGCATTGTGTCTGGCATATTTTAGGCACTTAATGTAAATTGGTTGATTGACTAAATCAAAATTAGATTTAAAAAGTGATCTAGTACCGAGAAGAAGTTAGAAATAAGTATTGTGTAAGATTTTGACCACAAGGAAAGGCATGGGCTCGGAGACCTCTGAGTAACCCAGGGGCTTTGGCATAGAATGTTTCAACAATATTTACTTACCTTCAAGTTTCTTCTTCTAACTCCCCTCTATTTCTAAAACCTTCTTTTGAGATGATTGGAGCCCAGTGGTTTCTAATTATAGTCAGCAGAGACCAGAGGGGATGTGAATGCCTGCTTTCTGCAGGAACTGGGTTTCCAAATCAGCTGGATAGAGTGACTTATTGTCACCAGGAGGGAGAAAGAAATGTCCCAGGAGGAGGCTTAGGAGGACACTCTGACCAGGTCAGACTCAGGCCTGGCAGGGGTCTGCCAGCAGGGGCTCTCTGAAAAGGGAGCAGGCCTGAAGGAAGCCATTTCACTCCAAGACATGGATTTGGGTGTTTTTGTTTTGGGGCCCTTATAGCTAGCCAGCTGCTTTTAAGACTTGGAGAAAACATCGACATTTACTCTTACTGCTGGTGCACAGAAAGGCCATTTTTTAATAAAAGAGAAAAATCATTTGAAAGCCTCACAATTTCAGTTGTCTAATGACATACTTTCAAGTAAAGTGAACATGTGATTAAAACATCTCGTTGATTTCACAAAATCACTCAGAAGAGTCCTCGACAAAAGGAAAGTGGGCCGAACCCGTAATGCCACGTCCCAGCTGTTGCAAACCTGCCGGCGGGACTACGGAGCAATGGTGACGAGAGTCGCCGGCAACTGTCGGAAGGGCGTGCCCCTCGCCCCTCCCAGGAATACGCCTGCGACCCCGAACCCGCTGGTTCTGCGCAGGGAGCAAGGCCAATGGGGCGGCTCAGGGCTCAGCGGCCCCGCTCAGGCATTGGGGTTGTTCCTCATGAGCTCCACGTCGGCGTCCACCATTTCCCGAACCAGCTCCTGGGACCCGGGACAGGGGGTGAGCGGTAAGGGAGGCGTTTCTGCCACTCTCTCCTGGTGACACCTCCTCCCCTGTGGTGGCCTCCACCCTGCCCTTCCTTGCCCACCTCGTACGCCCAGCTGCCTGCCCCGCCAGACCCTTCCGCAGGGCTGGCCCAGACCCGCCCAGGGGCGAGCAAGCCTACGGGCTCCACTCTGAAAAGGACACTCACATCAAAAGCGACCCGAGGTTTCCAGTTCAGCTTCTGTTTCGCTTTGCTGCAGTCTCCTTGCAGAAAGTCCTGTGGGGTGGAGGGAGAGAGAAAGCAGGCGTGGTCGGGGGTAGCGGGGTCCCGAGTCGTGGGAACCCTCGCCCTCCCACGGCTGTCTGCGCACAAGGCTCCGGTTTCCCTCCTTTTGGTCCCCGCCAGGCACATTGTCTCGGCTCTCGGAGCCGAGCCGTAAATCTTGCGAACGTCGCGTTGAAGAATGCGCTGCACAGACCAGTAAGGTCCGTGACAGCCTTTCAGTCCACAGCTCGCCCAACCCTCCCGTTCACTGCGTCCCACCGACGCTTAATCAACCTCTCTCAACCATTCTCTCTCTCTCTTTCTCTCTCTCCCCACCCGCCCCCCTCTCCCACACACAACCTCTATCTCTCTCTCTCTCTCTATCTATCTCT